ACACAACATCTTTGTTTGTATGTGGTGCTAAGGATCAAACCCGGGCCACAAGCATGCCAGGCGAGCGCGCTACCGCTTGAGCCACATCCCCAGCCCCTATATTCTGTTTTTATTTATTTATTATTTATTTATTTTGCAGTGCTAGGAATAGAAAAAGACTGTTTATGGAGCAATTTTAGGTTCACAGAAAAACTGAGTGGAAGGTACCAAGATTCCTCATCGGCCCTGCCCTGAACGTGTTTTCTAAAGGAGCAACAGAGAGGGACCAAACTCCTGTTTGTGGCTCACCACGGCCAGGCCTTCTTCCTCCCCTCCCCCTCCCTCCTTTGCACTGGGATTGGACCCAGGGCCCTGAGCATGCTGAGCTCCAAGCCCTGACCTGGCAGTGACTCTTGTCTGCGTGTCCACACTCCACGACCGACTGACCAACTGAGGCTGGTGGAGCTTCTTCTCCAAGGAAGGGGGAAGAGGAAGAACACAGGACTCGTCACCACTGGCTCTTAAAGCTGTCACCCAAAGACAACACCTGCACCCTGCTCAGGCCTCAGCACGGAGCTGGCCAGCCAGCCATGCTTCCCTTGAAGGGCCACGCAGCTCCCCCAGGAGCTGAGAAGGACAGGGTCTGGACCTGTGTGTACATCCTACTGACTCACAGGAGCTAAGTGAGCTTCCTTCCTGCAGCACTTGTCAGTGACTTCACTGAACCGTCATTCACTGTCCCTCTGGAGGACATGGGAGGCAGGAAGTGGAATTCCCCAACAACCCTGCTGGGGAGCACTTTTCTCTGGAGCATTTCAGGAGGACTGTTTTAGGTGGGGACCCACTGATCGGCTGGTGACCTTTTCCAACAGGAGGGGTTGGCAAACGTTTTGGAAAGGACATAAATATTTTAGGCTTCTTGACTGTCGGGCCCAGCTACTGGACACCGCTGTCCTCAAAGCCGCATTAGGCAATGTGTGAATGAATGGGTGTGGCTGGCTCCCAAGAGGAGTCTGTTTGTAGCTGCAGCTCCCCACGGAGCGTCCACCTTTGTCTAGGAACAAATTTCCAGGTCCCGGGGGCCTGGTGCAGGCCACTCCTCTCTGGTTGCCCTTCCTGCTCCTCCCTGCTTGGGCTGCGGCCTCCCTCCACCCAGAGCTGACAGGCTGCCCACCCTCCCACTGCCCCCTCCTGCAGTTGCCCCATCCTGTCGGGTCAACCTTCACCTGTGCCCTGAGCTCCTGGGGGCAACCTCATCCTTCTCAGCTCTGTCCCCCAGAAGCCTCTGTTGGGAGGTCAATCCCCAGAGCAGCTGCATTGGCAGCCTGGGCCCAGTCCCTGCACCGTGCCCTGCTGCCCGTGAGTCTGGTGCAGTCTGCGCAGCCCCTGTGAGTTGGACTGGGCTTGATGTGTGATTAAGAAGAGATGGCCTCACCCCGGCAGGCCCCGGGGGCGACTCCTGCCTCTGTCCACCTCCCTTCCTGTGGGATCTTGAACAGTTGCTTCCTTCTTGGGGCCTCTATTTGCATGTCTGTCAAATGTGAGCAATGACTCCTGCACTGGAGGCCTCCTGAGGTTGTTGTGAGGGGCAAATGAGGCCTGGCCCCAAAGGGACTGCGACCCAAAGGAGCTGACCTTGGAGGGTGCTGGCCGACATCACTGACTCCGCCCTCCAGGGGCTACTGATGCTGTGCTAGGGTGTAACAAGGGGCACAAGGTCCAGGCCTGCCAGAGAGGAAGATGGGGGTTGGTGACCTGGAGAAGGCCCCTGGGTTAAATCCCAGTACCTAGCCCCCGCCCCAAAAAGTCTTGAAACCAAATCCAGCTCTATTCATGCCCCACTGTCCTCTAACAACTGGGCATCGACACTTCTGCAGATAGAATTTGGACCTGGATCTGAGGAGAAAGCCTCTTCGTTTTACAAATGGGGACAGTGAGATGCTGAGAGGCCTAGGGACGGGCTTGGGAGCTCGTGGGAGCCAGAGGCAGAGCTTGACCAGGCCCAGGCTGGAGGATCCACTGCGCATCCCTGCAGCACCCAGAGCAGCAGCTGGGCCCTCTCCCCAGGAGGCCCGGCTGCCAGGCCTGCAGGGAGTTAGTGCCACTCTCAGGCTGGGACCGAGGGCCTGCTAATTAGTGGAATCATTTTTGGCATCTCACGCAGCCTGAAGGAACTGCAGAATGTCATTGTCAAAGTGTTTTTGAATATTTGCCTTCTCAGCAGGAAGAGGCTGAGAGAACACTCAGTCTTCCATAGGAGGGATCCTAAAAAAAATATCAAGCAGGGCGGGCCCAGGTCCAGTGGCTGAGTTCCAGGGACACAGAGGCTGAGGCAAGACACAGCAAGTTCAAGGCCAGCCTCAGCAATCTGGAGAAACTCTGTTCCAAAATAAAAAGGAGTTGGGCACGGTGGCACACATCTGTAATCCCAGGGACTCAGGAGGCTGAGGCAGGAGGATCACATGTTCAAAATCAGCCTCAGCAATTTAGCCAGGCCCTAAGCAACTTAGTGAGACCCTGTATCAAAATAAAAAATACAAAGGGCCAGGGGATGTGGCTCAGTGATTGAGCATCCCTGTGTTCAAAAAGGTAGGGCAAAAAGAAATACAAATAAATAGTAAATACAATTCAGGACAGAATGTGGCTCAGTGGTAGAGCACTTGCCCAGCAGTCTTGAGGCTCTGGGTTCAGTCCCCAGCACCACAGGAAAAATAAAGAAAGAACAAGCAGCGTGAGCTGGAGGGGTCTGAGAATCGGGGGTGAGGGGGCGGGGTTGGGGGGAGGCCTGGAGGGAACCTGGTGCTGCCAATTACAGATGCATGACAGCAAGGCTAGGCTCTGCCCTGCAGGCCGCATCCTCCTACCTCTAAAAGTCTCATTCAGTTCTGAAAGATTTATGGAAGCCCACTGGGTGCCAGGCATGATTCTAGGCTCTGGAGAACAGCTCAGAGAATCCCTGCACTTAAGGGGCTGCTGTCCTTAGTGAAGCCAGGGAACACAAATCACTTAAGAGTGAGGACTGCAAGGAGGTTGGGAGTCAGTGGATTTCTTTCTTTTTTTTTTTTTTAAAACCCTTGCATATTTATTCATTCATATGGATTTTTTTTTTTTAAAGAGAGAGTGAGAGAGATAGAGGTAGAGAGAATTTTTTAATATTTATTTTTTAGTATTTGGCGGACACAACATCTTTGTTTGTATGTGGTGCTGAGGATCGAACCCGGGCCGCACGCATGCCAGGCGAGCGCGCTACCGCTTGAGCCACATCCCAGCCCCGAGTCAGTGGATTTCTGGGGGAAGAGCATTCCTAGTACAGAGCACAGCAGGTGCAAAGGTCCTGAGGTCTGGGTGTGCTTGGTTTTGTTAGAGATCAGCAGGAGGCCAGTGGGGCTAGAGCAGGATGGGGACTTGGGGAGGGCAAAATCACAAGTCAGGGTCTGAGAGGCCACCGGAGGTTGGATGGCACAGGGCCTTGTAAGGCCCTGAAAGCCTTTCTGTGTGTTCTAAGTGAGGTGGAGCCATTGGAGGGTTTAGAGTGGGGTCTGATGTGGTCTCTGTTTTAACCACATTCCCCTGGTGCCCCTGAGTCAAGGGCAAGAGCAGGGAAGCCAACGGTAGCCATGCAGGTGGACGAGGCAGGGCCTGACCAGGGTCGGGGCAGTGGAGGAATAATAGCAGACTGGACTCCAGGTTGTCTAGAGGCAGAGTGGACACAGGATGTGGGGCTTGAGAAGAGAAGAGCCCAAAACGTGGCCTTCCACGGCATGGACAGCCCTCGCGGTATTGAGCAGCCCTCTCCACTTCTTCCCAGCCCCTTCCCTCCCACCCAGGAAATCCAGCAGCCCTTCATTCCCTTTGCCTCCCGACAGCATCTGTCAGCCGCCGTCTGTCTGTACGGATTTTTCAGTTTTGGACATTTGATTAAAATGGAAGTGCCCAGGGGGCTGGGGTTGTGGCTGAACAGTAGAGGCTCGCCTAGCATGGGCGAGGCCCTGAGTTCCATCCTCAGCACCACCACATAAAAAATAAATAAGTTAATAATTAAAGATATTTGTCTAACTACAATTAATAAATTTAAAAAAATAGGAAAAAAAAAAAAAAAAAAAAAAAGGAATTGTCCAGGTAGGTGTGGTGGCACAGTAATCCCAGCAGCTGGGGAGGCTGAGGTCGGGGGATCCTGAGTTCAAAGCCAGCCTCAGCAAAAGCAAGGTGCTAAGCAACTCAGTGAGACCCTGTCTCTAAATAAAATATTTTAAAAAACAGCTGGGGATGAGGCTCAGTGGCTAAGCACCCCTGGTTTCCATCTGGTACCAAAAGCAACCAACTAACCAACAAAAAAAACCCCACATAAAACAAAAAACAAGGGGCTGGGGTTGTGGCTCAGTGGTAGAGCACTTGCCTGGCACATGTGAGGCACTGGGTTCGAATCTCAGCACCACATATAAGCAAATAAATAAGTGAAAATCCCTGAATAGCTAATAAAAATATTTAAAACAAAACAAAACAAAACAAACCATCTCTCCATTCCTTCCAGGGATTTCAGAGATTTCCTAAGCAGCCCTCAGGACAGGCTCCACCTCTTCCTTGGAGGAGCCAGGGAAGCAGGAAGCAGGGGAGGCCACACCCAGATACGCTGGCTGAGTCCCTGCTTACTGAGGGGCCGAGGCTCTGCTCTCCCTCCCACCAGGAAGGGCCCCCACCCCAGGGGGTGCACCCAGGGCAGATGCTTCAGCCCATGGGAGGGGAGTCTGTGGAGATGGCAGGTGGGCGTCAGGCCTCACCTTCACTGTGGCCTCCTAGCAGTCCTAGAGGTGACCCTTGCAGGGAGGACCCACAGAGCCTTCCCCTCAGGGCCAGGCACAGGACAGGACACGCAGGCCCTGTTGGGGTGGAGTCTCGGGAGGGAGAGATAACAAACCAGAACCCAGAGTCCCATAACCGTAATTGAGATAAGGCTGGGACGGGGACTTGGGGGGTGGGTTGTCGAAGGCTCTGGGGGAGGTGACATGAGGTGGAAGATCTGGGGAAAGTGTTCCAGGCCAGGGGTCATCACGTGCAAAGTCCCCAGGCAGGTCCAGTGTGTGTGCCGGAAGCTGGGACGGTCCCGGTGGAGCCAGAGCCGGAAGTACTGGTTGGTCCTTTTCTGATCCAATGTTTGGGGAGGGGCTGGAGGGGCCTCACTCTTAGGACCAGGTCTTCAGACAGGAAACCACACACTGGAAGGCTGTTTCTAGACAGAAAAAGGAACTACCCTCCCTCTGAGGGTCTGCTGGTCCTTACAGTGGAGGCAGCTGAGAGCCCCGGGGCCCCTGGACAGAGCCAGCCATGGGAAGGCAGTGGGCTCCTGCCGAGTGTAGGTGCTGAGTGGGAGAGAGGTCACTCAGCCCATGCAGGGATCATCACAGCCCTGCGCAGTGCCAGAGGGGGAGGATGGGCTAGGATAGGGAGCCAAGGTGGTCAGGAAGGTCAGGAGGCCTGAGCCCTGAGGCCTGATAGGAGCAGCACCCCCAGGTCAACTTTGAAAAGGGAGAGGCCCCAAAGTGAGAAGCTCTGTCATGTGGAGACTCCTTCAGCCACCTCAGAGGCCTGGGACTGGGGTCTGTTCCAGGCATCCTTCCTTCTGGCCTCTGAGGAGGTCACCCTGGGAGACCCCACAGGATTATATCCTAGACCTTTGCCATCTCCCCAGTCCTCTTGCGGAGGCTTCTTAGAGAGTGAAAAATGTTCCAGAAAGAATTTAAATGAAGGGTGGAGTGGACCAGGTGGGGACAGGGATGAGGCAGGCATTTCCTGACAACAGACCCTCCACCCTGTCACATAGGGAGGGTCTCAAGGTTGCTGTAAAATAGGGCCAGGCCAAAGAGGAACCTGTGGGGTGAGGACTCCTTAGGGTGGCCTTCCTGTGCAAGCAGAGGTCACCCACGCTGCCCTGGTCCCCTAAGATGGCTTTGGTGGCAGCAGCTGAGCTGGCTGGTGTTGGGGGAATCAGGCCTGAAACCTAGGGGTCCGGCAGGGAGGCCGCCCCCTCCCAGCACGTGGGCCAGCAGGGATGCAAAGGGAACCTTAGCTGTAGAAACACAGCGCGCAGCATCCCAGAGTGGTGGGCTCTGCACACCTTCCTCTTTCTCTCTTCTTGGTTATTTAATCATCTCTCTTTTTTTCAGTATTGAGGATGGGACTCAAGGTCTTTTTTTTTTTTTTTGAGAGAGATAATTTTAATATTTATTTTTTAGTTCTTGGCGGACACAGCATCTTTGTTTGTATGTGGTGCTGAGGATCGAACCCGGGCCAGGCAGCAGGCATGCCAGGCGAGCGCGCTACTGCTTGAACCACATCCACAGCCCCTCAAGGTCTTGTGCATGTGAATCAAGTGCTCTACCACTGAGCTGAACCCCACGCTCTTTGTTTTTTATTTTGAAACAGGGTCTCACTAAATTGCCTAGGCTGGCCTCGAACTTGTGATTCTCTTGCCTCAGCCTCCCCAAGAGGCCAGGAGTACAGGTGTGTGCCACTGCGTCCAGTTCATCTCTATTATTATTATTATTTTTTTTTTTTCATTTATTTTTTAGGTAGATGGACAGAACACAATGCCTTTATTTTTATGTGGCGCTGAGGATCGAACGCAGGTCCCACCCATGCTAGGCAAGCGCTCTACCGCTGAGCCACAATCCCAGTCCTTATTATTGTTTTTTTCAGCACCAGGGTCTGAATCTAGGGCCTTATACATGCTGAGCAAGTGCTGTACTGCAGAGCTATATCCCAGCACTTTAAAAAAAAATTTTATTTTGAGACCGTTTCCTGCAAAATTGCCCAGGATAGATTTAAACCTTCAATCCTCCTGCCTCAGTCTATCTACTGAGTAGCTGAGTGCCATTGTGTACCACCATGCCTGAGTCCTCTCATTTCTTTTTTACTTTTTTTTGGCGGGGGGTGGGGGGGAGATGGGGCTTGAACACAGAGGTGCTTAAACACTGAGCCATTTTTTATTCTGTATTTTGAGACAGAGTCTCACTAAGTTGTTTAAAGCTTTGCTAAATTGGTGAGACTGGCCCTAAATTTGTGATCCTCCTGCCTCAGCCTCCTGAGTCACTGGGACTACATGTGAATGCCACTGCACCTGGCTTGCTCATTATTTATTTATTTATTTATTTATTTATATTTTTCAGAGACACAGGTTTATTGAAGAAGGAGGTGCACATTCAAGGGAGAAGGCAGGTTATCTCCAGGGGCAGAGATAGTCTCTATTCTTTAAACAGCTTTATTGAGATATGATTCACAAACCATATGATTCATTCACTCACTGTACAATTTAGTGGTTTCTAATGCATTCACAGACCTGTGCAAGCAACACCACAGTCGATGTTAGAACATGTCATCATCTCAGAGAGATATGCCAGGGGCTGGGTGCGGCTCAGTGGTAGAGAACATGTGTAGCAGCATGGGGCCCCTGGTTGCATGCCATGAGCAGTTGCTCCCACTCCCCTGCCCCTCTGCCCCTGGCTACACCACTCTACTTCCCATCTCCACACAGTTGCCTATTGCAGACATTTCATGTAAGTGGAATCACGTACTGTGTGTTCTCCTGAGACTGGCTTCTTTCATTTAACATAATGCTTTCAAACTTCATCTGTGTTGAAGTGGGTGTTCAACTTCTTCCTAAAGATGAATTGTATTCCAATGCACCACATTTGGTTTACTCATCGGATGATGGGCATTTAGTTTTTTCTACTTCATAGCTATTATGAATAATTTCTATGGACATTTGCATGTGAGTTTTCTTGTGGACATAGGTTTTATTTCTTTTTTTCCTTTTGCAGTACTGGAGGTGGAACCTGGAGAACCTGGCACATGAGAGGCAAGCACTCCACCACCAAGCTGCACCTCAGCCCAGCTGTTTTTAGTTCTTTGGGTATATATTTAGGATTGGGATTTCTGGGTCAACTGGTGCCTTTCTCTGTAACTTTTTGAGGAATCACCAGAAGGCTTTTGCCGAGCAGCTGCTCCGTTTTGCATTCCCACCAGCAGTGGGTTCCACTTTCTCCAACACTGGTTATTGTCTTTCTCGTAATGGCCACCCTCATGGGCAGGAAGTGGTCTCTCATTGTAGGTTTTTTGTTTTTCTCTTTCTGTTGTCTTGCATATGCCAGGATCCTACTCCACCATTGAGCTGTACCTCCTGCCCTTCATTGGAGTTTTGATTTACATTTCCCTAGGTTGTGAGAGTTCTTCTATATTCAGAAGTCATTTGGGGGATTGAACTGAGGAGCACTTTACCACTGAGCTATTTTTTTTTTTTTTTCTTTTTTAGCAGTGTCAGGGATTGAACCTAGGGCCTTGTGCATGCAAGGCAAGCACTCTACCAGCTGAGCTCTATACCCAGACCACCACTGAGCTTTATTCCCAGCCTTTTTAATTCTGAGGCAGGGTCTTGCTAAATCGCTGAGTTTCTCACTAAATTGCTGAAGTTGGCCTCGAGGTTGTGATCTTTTTCCCACAGCCTCCCAAATTGCTGGGATTACAGGTGTGCATCACCATGTCCACCAAGAAAAGGTCTAATATCTATGAAGTCCAGTTTATCTATTTTTTTATTTTGCTTTGGGCATTACTATTTTTTATTTTTGGTTGTACTGAGGATAGAACCCTGAACCTGGTGTAACCAGGCAAGTACTCTACGACTGAGTTACATCCCTATTAAAAAAATTTAAATTAAAAAAATTTTTTTTCAAAACATCATCTTGCTAAGTTGCCCAGGCTGGACTCAAACTTGCTATTCTTTTGTATTATACTTTACCTCTCACAATTAGGTCTATGATCCATTTTATTTGTCGAGCTACTAACATATTAAGGAAGAAGACAGTGGGGGTCGAACAGCTCCTGTGATTGTGGAGATGAGTGTAAATGCTATTCTGAGACGTCTCCAACTGTAATATGAGACAGTATCATGGGTGACATAGTTGTAGGCACTGCTAATACCGCCTACCTTCATAATTGAAGAAAATGCTAGATTTCAGTTAAAGTTTAATTTAAAGGAAGCTGTAACCACCCTCCCCAGCTCCTAGATCTCAGGTTGAGAATTTCTGGGGTGGCTAGAGTTCCTGGGTTCCCAGGGGTCTTCTGGGGCTTGACCCTTCCTAGGCCTGACTTCAAGACTGTTTTTTCTGCCATCCCCAACCCTGGGCCAGCCCTCCACCTGCCTGCCTCCATCCTTGGAGAAGCTTTTCTTTGCCAAGCAGAAGTTTCTATCGAGTCATCCGCCATGCTATCACCACCACTAACAAAAGGCAGCGATGTGAATGATCAGCTCTACAGTTTAAAATCAGTCAGGTGTTCTATGCTGCCCTGGTCCCTCACGCTCCAGCATTTCTGGTAGTGGCTCTGGGTTGAGCAAGAGGCTATGTAGCCACATGTGCCCTCACTCCTCCAGTCACCAATCACACAACTTCAGGCGCACTACTTCACTGCTGGGTGCCTCAGTTTCCTTATCTACAAGGCAGGGGCAGTGGTGCTATTGTATTTAATGATGGGGTTATTGAAAGTGCTCTCAATCTCAAGGCTAAGGGCCAAGGAGGGCAGTCAGGACACTAGCTCTTATTAGGTCATTTCAAGGTGGGGAGGGGTGCTCTTGGCCTGTGTGTTCTTTCCTAGGTTCTGTACCAGGTGATGCTTGACATTTGTGTCATTCAGGTAGTAACAGAAACTCAAATCAATCAAGGATTTCAGGTCTGGTTTGTGAAAGTGGGGAGCGGGGAGTGTTTGAATGAGACTATCAGTCTCGGTCCTTCTCCCCAGCTGGACCCCCTTTTCATAGGATGGTTGGGTAGGTGTGGCTTCCTGGAGCATGGCCTGGTCCAGGGCAAGGCAAGCCAGGTGGCTTGGGTGCAGAAAAGAGGCCTCCTCTCAGTTGCTCCATGGAGTTTGAGATCCCTGAGCAACTGGCTTGCCCCCCAGTCAGGCTCTGCCCCGGAGGTTATAGGCATTCCTGCTCCCTAGGTCTAGATCTCAGAGGAGCTTTCCTGAGAGTTCCACAAGTGTTCTAGAAAGGGTCTTGATTGGCTCCAGGAGGTCTGTGAACGAGGGCTGGCAGCTCTGGTCAGAAATAAGGACTCTGGAAACCAACCATCTAGAGGGTGTAGGTGGTGCTCCTCCAGAATGATGCTAGACTGACAAGCCATACCACACCCAGGGTCTCAGTCACAGTGCACTTGTTCCAGGGACTCCCCCTCCCAGGGATTGGCCCCTGCTCTGTGCACCTGCAGCAGGTAGTGTTCCCTATCATCCATCCATCCAATCACTCCTCACTCAATAAATACTTAATGAACACCTGCTATACTCCAGGCACAGAGTAGGAGCAAAAGCTGAGCAGGAACCCAGCACTCACAGGGTTGAAGGAGGTGGTGAAGTCTGCTAAGGAGGGGGAGTGGTTTATGAGGTAGGAGATCAGGTGGGCCTGTGGTCCAGTGGTTAGGGAAGTGAGGGAGTTCCTGGGAGGAGGGGTCTACTCAGGTGCTACCCAGTGTCTCAGTGGGACTCAGAAGTCACCACTGGACTGAGCAGCAGGGAGGCTGTAAGTGACTTCAGCAAGAGGTTACGGGAGGGGCTATCCTTCCTGGGTGGAGTAAGGAAAGCCTGGGATTGGAGGGAGAGAAGGCAAGTATAGACTAGTCTCTGGAGGGTTATGTCTGGGAGGGGAGTTGAGAAGTCACTCCAAGGCTGGAGGGGGCTTGGGAGCAAGGCAGAGTTTCCCCCTTTTGAAACTGTGCCAGTCCAGAGGGAGGATGATGGCCCAGGAAGCGGGGTCCCCAGGGGTAGCCAGGGCCTGAGGAGGAGGTGGGAGCAGGCAGGGAGATGTGTCAATCTAATGGCTCCAGCTGTTCTGACTAAAGAATGATGAAGTGAGGCCACAGTTGACAGAGGTGTAGGCAGAGGGAGAAAGTGTGAAATCTTAGTTTCAGACACCAAAGAACATGAGGACTGCTGGCTGTAGAGAGTGACCGTGTGAAGTGTGAGGTCACGAATTCTTGATCAGGGGTTGTGTGTTGGACCTCCACCCCAGCAACAGGAATGGGGATTTCTTTCAGGTTGGGGTTCCCTATGGTGGAGGGAGACAGGGGATGGGAAGGTAGACTTCCAGGCTAGGAAGTAGGTGGCACTACCTGCACTTAAAACATTGTTTTGAGAGGGAAACTTGCTATATTGTCCAGGCTATATTGTCCATGGACTCCTAAGCTTGTGTGATCCTCCTGCCTCAGCCTTCCAAGGGCTGGGTGGGACTAGAAGCCTGCACCATCATGCCCAGCTCATTACTTGCAATTCATAGATGAGGAAGCTGAGAGTTTGTGGGTGAAGTGGTATCCATGTGGCTTTGTGGTCAAAGTAGAGCAGGGACTGGCACTTGTTGGGGTCTCATTTTTTTTGGGGGGAAAAAATGGCTGCAAGGTCACTGGTGAGGTGCCTACAGTCATAACCCAGCTAGAAAGTGGGCTCAAGCTTGGAGGGCAGGACTCAAGGGTAGGGAGATGACCCCTGTGCTCTGTCTTCCCCCCCACCCCCCAAGGAAATGACCCAATGTCACCTTTGAGCCCTTATAGAGTACCTTTCCAGAGCCTGGTGGTAGATCTTGGTGGACAAGAGCCAGCAGGGCAGAGTGCTCTTAACCTCACTCCTCACACAGGCCTCACCTCTGGCTGAGTCACAGGTTTCAGACTGCCCCTGGTTCTACACTTTGCTTTGCTGTGGGCACCCTCCCTACTAAGGTTCTTGCCCCGGGCTCTTCAAGGACAGGGGCTTCCTTTTCAGGAGAATCTAAGAACTACACCATGAACTTGGTGGGCCAGTGGTTTCTCTTAAGGGGAGACTCCCGGGTTCTGATTCTTAAAGGCCACTTAGGCAGAACTGAACGTGATCACTCCAATGAAATTAATGAGCCACAGAAAATGTGGAAGAGAAACCTCTACCTATTTATTCAGGCATTAGAACCATAAAACTCCCTATTTTTCCCGGATGCTATTTATATCCTGAACGGGTGAAAACTGTCCCCCAAAGCAGCTCAGGTTTGAAGTAACTTTAAAGAAAAACAGCCACTCCCTGTTAAGGTGGGGGAGGAAAGGTTCCCCTATAGCCCTCCTCTGGTCCAATTAGGAACAGCGCTGCTGGGGGGCTGGTGCGGGTGGGCCAGTCCCGCCCAGTTTCACGGTCAGCTGTCACTCCGCCGTCAGGTCTCCCAGGCTGGGTCTCGGCCAACCCCCCACCCGTCGGGGCTCGCGTCCTGCCCCGCGGGGAAGCGGGCCTGGGTGGGGCGAGGGGCAGGGCGGCCAGCGGACCCTGAGAATCGGCGTGGCGCCCACCACGGACTTGGGACAAGAGGCCCCTTCATTTCTCTCCGGGCTGCCCCTCCCGCCCGGGACCCCCAGTCCCGCCACTCGGCTTCCCGGCCCTTGAGGACTGCGCGGTGGCCCCGCCCCCATCTCCTTCCTCGCGCCGCCCCGGGAGCCCACCGACCCCCGCCCAATTAGCGGAGAGCGCCCTCGGCCCGAGCCCACTGCGTCTGGCTGCCTCCGGGGACGCTGTCCCTTGGGACGCCGCGGCTCCCGGCCTCGCACACCCCCAAGCCCCTCGGGGAAAACGGGGGCGCAATTAGTTTCTTCAATTAGTTTCCTCTCTTTGTATAGAACCCATTCAAACTGTGCTGTACTCCTCCGCGCGAGGGGGAAAGTAGTCCCGACCTTGCCCGCAATTAGTTCTCGCGTCGGGCACATTGTACTGCGGGAAGCCTGCGGTGCGCTTGGCGGGGCCCCTCGGGGGCGGGGGACTGGGCCGCGGGGGCGCTCGCGGGTCGGGGCGGGCGGGAGGGGGCGGGGAGGTGGCGAACTCCTCGCGATTGCCTCGAGAGATGGATCATGGGGCGTAGAGCGATGGCAAACCTCAAACCACGTACAGTGGGCGATACGCGTCAACCCAACCTGGCCAACGGAAGCGCGGAGCCTCCCCTTGCCCGCGCTCCCGCCCCGGCCCCCTGACGGACGCGCGCGTGAGCCAACCGGGCTACCGCTCGCCGTCCAAATCCCACGAGGACCAATCGGGGCGTGGGGGGGCGGGACTCCCCACTTCGTGTTAGGCTGCGCGCGGCCCTCCCCTCGGCGCGCAGGCCCCGCCCCTCCCCCCGCCCGCGGCTCCCGGAGTAGTTAGAGCCAGCGAAGTGCGGGCGGTGATGAGAGCCAAAGTTGCGCTCGGTTCGGCGCTGGGGGCTTAAGGCGGCTCGGCGCTCCGCCCGTCTGGGCCTCCCCCGGCCCCAGCGCGCGCCGCTGGGCTCCCGCGCGCCCGCCAGCCCGCCCGGCCCTGCGCCCACCCGCGCCCCCTGCCCGGCCAGCGCCCGCTCCCCGCGAGCCGGGGTCCTCGCCGCCGTCGCCCGGCCCCGGGCCCCGCTGATGCCGGCCATGGTGGAGAAGGGCCCCGAGGTCTCAGGGAAGCGCAGGGGCAGGAACACCGCGGCCGCCTCCGCCTCGGCCGCCGCCTCGGCCGCCTCCGCCTCGGCCGCAGCAGCCGCCGCCGCCTCGGCCGCCGCCGCCGCCGCCTCGGCCGCCGCCGCCTCGGCCGCCGCCGCCCCCAATAATGGCCAGAATAAAAGTTTGGCGGCGGCGGCGCCCAATGGCAACAGCGGCAGCAACTCCTGGGAGGAAGGCAGCTCGGGCTCGTCCAGCGACGAGGAGCACGGTAGGTGGCAGCCGCCCCCACGCCCGGCCCCGCACGGCCCGCGCCCGCGCCCGCGTTGACCGCCGTGTCTGTTCCCGCAGGTGGCGGCGGCATGCGGGTCGGACCCCAGTACCAGGCGGCCGTGCCCGACTTCGACCCCGGTGAGTAGCGCGCGGCCGGCCGCGAGCGGCGGGATCCCGGCGACAACTTTCTTTTTGTGCGTGTTGGCCCTGCGGTCCGCGGGGGCACGCGGGGCGCGACGGGGGCCGCGCGCACGCACGGCGCGGACTGCGGGCCGGCGGGAGGCCCGGCCCGCCCCGCGCCCCCTCACCCCCGGCCCTGGCCGCGGTCGCACCTGGCAGCAGGAGCGGGATGCCCGCGCCCAGGTGAGCTGCGACCCGCCGGGCCGGGTGGCGTGCGGGAGAGTTGGCGTGCTGAGCGCCCGGACTGAGCTTCCCACGAGACCCCTCCTGGGAAGCCTCGCCCGGCTGTGCCCTGCGGGCCTGTGTCCTCGCTGCCTCTGGACCCCTCTCCCATCCTGAGAAGGAGTGGAACCCCCAAAACCAGCTCATAAAACTAGTGTGCTTTCCAGAGGGCGTTTGCCTGGACAAGAGAGGCTCGCGTGTGGCAGTTTGGTTTTTAAGACCTATTTGTAAATGCATATACATTTCCTTTTTTTTTTTTTTTTTTTTTTGGTGGGTTAGTAGGGGGGAGAGGAAGAGGTTGCGAAAAAATAGAACCATCAGGAGCTTTAGCTAACCAATGGTTTCCACCTACCAGAAATCCCTGCACCCCAGAATGGAGCATTTACTTCCCTTGCTGCCCTGGGTGGAAGCAAATTTAAAGTGGTACCAAAAAAAAAAATAGTCAAATCAGACAAAGGAATTCTTCAGATTTTAATACATGAGATTCTCCCCCGTCTCTGTATGAGACTGTCTTTAAAGGTTGTTGGTATAGAAAATGTTTGAAAGGACGTGGGTTTTGTTTCAGAAGTAAAATTCAAAAGACTCTTGTAAAGCTGGAGTGAGCAGTCCTCTTCCTGGTTGGAGGGCTTTAGAACTGGAGGTTCTCTAAGTAGGTTAGACCACTAGTTTGTTTGAAGAAATAAATGCTTTTCCTTGGAAACAGGACTGCGGAAAATTGCAAGGATCTAGTCCTCAAAAAAGGCGATTGCTCTTAAGCTGTGATTAAGGTAGTAAACACTGGGTGTGCTTAGAAGTGAAAATGCAGAAGGATCCCCTGCTGAGCTGGGGCACTCTGGAAATAAACGGCTTTTCCCAAATTTGCGTTCTATGGTCTGATGACTTACTCTTTTATATTTAATGTAGCCTGACTTCCAGATTTGTATTCCTTTTAAGCCCCTCTTGTAGTTTCCCCTCCCCCAAGATCTTCCTTTTTTGGTAGACACTTCTCATTTGTGAGTGACAGGATAGAACCAGGCGGCCAGGCTTTTTCTCTTCTGTGCAAAGCTCCTCCATTCTAGGGTTGGCCACCAGGGGAAGCATTCCATTTTTTGCTTACAGTTGACCCCATCTTCATTTTGTAGGTCAAGTCTTATCTGTGGTAATATTCAGAACAGAAAAGCTTGTCACTAAATTTTCTCCAGGTGTTGTTTTTTAAAAATATTTTTAATTTATTTTTTAGTTATAGGTGGACACAATAGCTTTATTTTATTTTATGTAATGCTGAGGAATGATCCTAGTGCCTCAGGCACGCTAGGGAAGCGCTGTACCTCTGAGCCACAACCCTAGCCCTCTCCAGGTGTTATTTTTTTTTTTAAATATTTATTTATTTATTTTTTTAGTTTTGGGCGGACACAACATCTTTATTTGTATGTGGTGCTGAGGATCGAACCCAGCGCCACTTGCATGCCAGGCAAGCGCACTAACGCTTGAGCCACATCCCCAGCCCTCCAGGTGTTATTTTTAAGAGTCAAGTTGAGCAAATCTTTGATTAAGTTGGTCAGTTTCAATGCTTTAATTTTGGAAGATTTATTTAAGTATGTTGAGTGTGATTGAGGAAAAGGGCATATTTGATAGTCACATTTTTGTTTTTTGGTTTCAGTGTTGGGGATTGAACCCAGAGTGTCAGGCATGCTAGGCAAGGGGCTCCACCACTGAGTTACTTAACATCCTCAGCCAGTACTTAGATTTCTGACATTCTTTCATCTAAATACTAATGTTTAGCTCCTGCGTTGTTAATAATGAGTCTAATGGCTTTGGAGCTGTATCTTTGAAACAGCATATGTTATAGGATAGTATTTTGAACTGTCTTTTGATTCCTCTCTTTCTTCTCTGGTGGTACTGGGGATTGAAATCCTTGGACTACTTGATGGGAGAAGTAAAGCATAAATTTGCTGGAGCCTTGGATTCTGGAAAGTAAAACATTGTCAGTGTTTTGATGCATCATTGTACTGCCAATTGATTGATTCTTTTTTTTTTAATGTTTTATTTACATTTCAGTTTTCGGCAGAGACAATATCTTTGTATGTGGTGCTGAGGATTGAACCCGGGCCGCACCCTTGCCAGGGGAGCGCGCTACCTCTTGAGCCACATCCCCAGCCCCTTGATTAAGTCTTGATATTAACATTTGTACATTTTCTGTTTTAATCTGAAAGAAATCCAGCCAGTATGAAATTATTTCAGGCCCTATTTTGTCAGTCTGAGCAATGAGAAACATTCCTGAATGTGGCTGAAAATTGTGAGGCTTTCCTATTTTCTAGTGATTTTTCATGTGGTTTTTATTTAACTTGAAATCTAAGGGGGAAACCAACTGACTTTTTTTTTTTCTGGTACCATGGATTGAACTCGGGCACTCAACCACTGAGCCACATCTCCAGCCCTGTTTTGTATTTTTATTTAGAGACAGGGTCTCGCTGAGTTGCTTAGTGCCTTACCATTGCTGAGGCTGGCTTTGAACTCTCAGCCTCCTGAGCCGCTGAGATTGAGATTTTTATTTTGGAATATAAATTGTACAACATGTTTGTTTTATGGAATATTTTTCTTTTAGGTCTTTAGAATTGAGCTATACTCCTTTTTAATTTTAATTTTTTTTTGTGTGTGTGGCACTAGAGATGGAATCCAGGGGGGCTCTGCCACAGAGCTACATCCCCAGCCCATTTTATTTTGAGAAGGGGTCTTGCTAAGTTGCCAGGCTGGCCTGAACTTTTTTTTTTTTTAATGTGGTGCTGGGCAGTGAACCCAGTGCCTCATGCACGCTAGGCAAGGACTCTACCACTGAGCCACAACCCCAGCCTCTGGCCTGAACTTTTTATTCTCTTGCCTTAACTCTCCCAAGTCATTGGGATTACGGGCATTTGATGTTCTTCACAGGAGTAAAAGAAGTTAGAATAACATGGGAATGAGGGTGTAGTTGTGACAACTTTTTCTTTCTACCTTCTGGAGTGGGCTTGTTTTTTTGAGTGCTGGGAGTTGAACCCAGGTCCTTGGACATTATAAGCACACACTTTGCCACTGAACTAAACTACAATCACTTCCCAAGGGGTTGGTGTTTTCCTTTCTTGTAGTGCTGGGGATTGAACCCAGTGATGCTCTACCACTAAGCTGTATCCCCAGCCTTTTAAAAATTTTATTTTGAGACAGAGTTGCGCTAAGTTGCTCAAGCTGGCTTAGAGCTTTTCATACTTCTGCTGATATTATGTGCACGTGCTATGAAACCTGGCTTTTTTTTGCCTGAGTTTTGGGTGCACCTTTGTGTTTTAAAAAATTATTATTAGTAGTAGTATCATTATACAAGAATTTGAACAGACAGACACGAAACTCATCAAAGGAGCCCCCCTGCCCCAGCTGCACTAAGCTACATCCCAATCCCAAACCTTTTTTTTTTTTTTTTTTTTTGAGACAGGGTTTTTAAGTTGCTGGGCTGACCTCAAACTTGTGATCCTCTTGCCTCAGGCTCCAGTGTAGCTGGAATTACAGGCATGTGCTACTGTAAAATAAAATTAAAACATGGCTTTTTTTTTTTCTTTTAAAGTATATATAGTAAAGGTGTGTGGGTGGAAAAAGTTGACTTTATTTATTTATTTTTTTGGTCAGGTTTTATTTTTTGCAGATCACAGCTTGACCCTGTTCTGTGACTGGTTGGAGTTAAGATTGCCTGATAGTCTCTATAAAGTCCAAGGAAGAGTTAATTCTGTTATGCCTTGCAGATAGCAAAATAGCATGGTAGTGCTAAAACGCTGATTCAGTTTATATAGTCCAATACAGAGGATTGAGATCTGTAGAGAAAAAGTTTTTATCATTTAACATTAAAAAAAAGCCAGAGTGCAGCCCCTCCACCTTTAATTTGGGCTTTGTGTCCATGTGTGGTACCCAGACTTTCCATACTATGTCCTGGAGGATGTCCAGTGGTGGTTGGTTTCTGTAGAGTCCAGCAGGCACAGAACAGTGAGTGGGGAACTTAGGGATCCCACCTCCAGTTCTTTCCTGAACTCGTGAAGGGTCACTTATCTTGAAATGAGTTTTTCTATACAAAACTATGAATGCTCCTGTGTCTTCCTGGGAGCATGCAGCTTCAGTGTAAAGTCTGGTCCGTGTATCTTTTTGGTCATTTCTTTGTGGCTCTTCCTCTTTGTTGACTTCTAGCCAAAGGAGCACGGTGATAGGAGGTTAGGGTTGGCTCCAGTTCTTTGTTTTCTGAAGCTTGTGTTATGTCAACTTTATCCTGAGTTGGTTTTCAGTATCACAGTTCACTTGTGCTAAAATTACAACTTACAGAAGAGGAATCCCCCAACCCCTCATCAAACCCAGGGTTTGCGCATGCTAGGGATGTGCTTTGTCATTGAGTTACACTCCCAGTCCAGAAGATGAGATTGTTAATGGTAATAATTTTTTAGAAAATGGTCCTTCAGAAAAGCAACCTGTAGTTTGAACGTTCAGTCCAATATATGTAATCAGATTTGAAAATTTGTGGTGTCACTGGAGCTTAACTGTCACTTTGAAGTTGACTTGTAGTAGTAAGATATGTTATACTTTTCATGTGGACAGAAGATTTTACTGAATAGGATGCTTGATGTGCCTTTCATTTGCTTTCACTGGTGATCTTGTGCTTTTTTTTTTTAATTTTTAAATTAAATTTTTTTTATTTTAGTTATAGTTGAGCACAATACCTTTTTATTTGTTTATTTTTTTATGTGGTACTG